AAAAACTCTGAAAGATACCACTCGTGCCGTAAAAATCAGACGGGCCATCATCTCACGAACCCCTGCTACCACGGAAACAACCCATCTTCTCGAAACTTCATTGTTGCCATACAAGCACTACAATTATGATCGTGTTTTGGGCGCCTGCTGTGAAAACGTCATCGGTTATCTTCCATTGCCTCTTGGTGTCGCTGGTCCAATTGTCATCGATGGTCAAAGTTTCTTCTTGCCCATGGCTACAACTGAAGGTGTTCTTGTTGCAAGTACCAGTCGTGGCTGCAAAGCCATCAACTCCGGCGGCGGTGCTGTTACCGTCTTGACTGGTGATGGTATGACTCGTGGCCCATGCATTGCTTTCGAAACTCTTGAACGTGCTGGAGCCGCTAAGGTTTGGCTTGATTCCGAAGCTGGTCAGAAGACTATGACCGAAGCATTCAACTCTACCAGTAGATTCGCAAGACTTCAATCCATCAAGACGGCCTTGGCAGGTACTAATCTTTACCCTCGTTTCAAAACTACTACCGGAGATGCAATGGGAATGAACATGATATCAAAGGGTGTCGAGCACGCTCTGAAAGTTATGTCTACCGAATGTGGCTTTGACGATATGGAAATCATTTCAGTCTCGGGCAACTTTTGTACCGACAAGAAGGCTGCTGCTGTTAACTGGATCGATGGACGTGGTAAAAGCGTTGTTGCTGAAGCAATTATCCCCGGTGATGTCGTTCGCAAGGTTCTGAAGACTGATGTAGATGCATTGGTCGAACTGAACATCGCCAAGAATCTCGTTGGAAGTGCAATGGCCGGTGCTATGGGTGGATTCAACGCCCACGCTGCTAATATTGTCGCTGCAATCTTTTTGGCTACTGGTCAAGACCCCGCACAAGTAGTCGAGAGCAGTAGTTGTATCACACTCATGAGGAAGTAAGTAGCTTATATTACATTTCAGGGACATATTCACTAACATTCTTCTACAGTCTTCGCGGTAACTTGCAAATTAGTGTTTCCATGCCTTCTATCGAAGTTGGTACTTTGGGCGGTGGTACTATTCTTGAGCCTCAAAGTGCCATGTTAGATCTTCTTGGCGTTAGAGGCTCTCACCCAACGAACCCTGGTGACAACGCCCGCAAACTTGCACGTGTGATCGCTGCAGCTGTCTTGGCTGGTGAACTTTCCTTGTGTAGTGCTTTGGCGGCTGGCCATCTCGTACAGAGTCATATGGCACATAACAGAAGTGCTCCAGCAACAAGGCCCAATACCCCAGGCCCAGCAAGTGGTGTACAAACACCAGTGACTGCAGCAATGACAGCTTTGCGAGAGAGAGCTGGTATGGCAGCCTTGTCTCCGGCAGCTACCCTTAGAGCTGCAGGAGCGAAGAAATAGGGGATGGTATTTAATGTATAGGTATAGAGAAGAGCGATGCATGGAAAAACTGGCGTTAAAGGATGTTCATAGCAACGGGAATATTTTTTTCAATGATATCTAGCGGAGGCTTATGATGCGTGTATTTCTTTTTCACTCATGGAACACTTCTTGTCTCTCATATTCGAACTTTGATGAATGGACTCAGATATAGAATAGTTGTTAGATATTTTAGACTCAAATGAGACTTGATAGTCACCAGCTTGATTCGCGATTTGTCAGTACTGCGGCATTGTTTTTTGACTTATTTCTGGTTGAAATCGAGATTTGTGACTATCCTTTTGACCTTTCCATCACTTTTGTCATGAAAGGGTTGAGATGATATGCATGCATACTTATAGTGGACGCATTAATTAATTTTATTCCGCTATTGTTCTCGCTCTTCCTCTTTTCCGCTAGTGTTATATTTAGCAAACACATGATTAGATACACGATTAAATATGTACTACAGGGTAACCAGGCCCTTCTAATAAACCAGATATTACCTCGCTTATCTAATGAACATTTTCTCTCAGCCCACTCGTCCTCAAACTATGTCCTGCCATGACCAATGGCTCCTTATGAGTCTGACCATTATGCGCCGCCTGTGCATTTCCATTCCCAGCACCATTTTCCATGCCAGATCCAAGTCCTAGTCCCCCATTTGCATGCTCCAATGCCTTTCTCACCGCATCACCGACCTCTTTCGTCAATGCACTGTCTTCACTTCCCCTTCTGCTTCCTCCTCTGATGGTTCCAGAACCTCCAATTAGTAATCCCTTGACCCCGCCTCTTTTCCTTTCTGGTAATTCTTCCGAGCCTGCGCTACAGACGTATAATAGGTATTTCAGATTCGGAACTGTTTGTCTGATATCTAGGACACGGAGACCCTGGGATTCGGCTAGTGCTTCAATATTTTTGTTCAGGAGAAACACGCCCCAGTCGAAGCGAAAGCGAATGACAGATTGGGGGTAGAGGGGGAAAATTCTTTGCCGGTCTTGTACGAGAGATATAGGGTCGTGGATGAGAGATCGAGAAGCATGCGGTGTGATGGGGTAGGGGAGTGGAACTCCTAGATAGTACTGCAGATGATTGACTAATTGCGCGACATAGCCGAGAGCGGCGGCTACGACATCCTCGTCGGCCGATGAGATATTATCATCATCAGTGGTGTTTGGAAGAGGGAGACCGCAGATTGTGAAGAGGAGGGGGTGAGAGGTAGGTTCGATTGGGTAGATTTCAATGAGTTCTTCACAGAGGCGACGGCGATGGTCCCGGATAAGGGACTTGGTGTTTGTGAGGAGAGTACGGGAATTGTTGAGATGCTCCTGGGCATTTTGAACATCGGCCTCGGCGGCAGATTGAACGGCATAACCGGATGAAATGGCGGCGCGCCGTAAGGATATAGATGTTTTTAGATCGTGCTGACGAGCTTGGGAATGGTGGAGGAGTTTGCGGGACGTGGTAACATAGCGTTTGGCGAGGGCGAGGGACTCTTTGGCAACGGGGATATATGTTGACGGCGAAGTGTTGTTGGTAAGTATGTCATTTATTTGAGAAGTTAGTTGTTCGCGCGTAGCCAAAGCATCCTGGATGGATTCATTGAGATTTGAGAGGCGCATCAATGCATTGTAGGAGGATGTAGGGAGCGCAATACTAGGCCGCGGTCGAGGTGGCTTGGAAGTAAGATCAATGGTATATATGCCATCTACGAGCTGGAAAATAATAGAATTGGGTGGGAAAGGGCGATTTTCCAGTCGTCCTAAGAATTGCAGTGACTGAAGATTAACTTCCTCTTCGATCAGTGGAACAAAATCTTGTCGTTTAACCCATATTTTTACAATAACAGTATCGAGTCGCGTCGTCGCAGGTCCGAATGAGGATAATTCGAAAGATCGAAACGTAGGATTCATTGCCTTCTCTACAACCTCGCTGATATATATCGGATCGTTCTGTCCCTCGCAATGCAATGTGAAGAAGCTATCTGCCATTCGACTATCCCTTACATCCTCCAATTTCTTCTGTCTTATAGACGGACTTGCACCCACCCAATTGGAACTCGATCTTCTAGTTCTCGCAGAGGGTCGTAGATCTCCGGATGATTGCGCATGATGCAATTGCGATTCGCGGCGCAAAGCCTCGAGCTTCTGTGGTGATTTATTTAGACCGGCATCGTCGATTGTTTTCCCCCGCGGACGAGAAAGAGTCAGATTCCGGACGTATATACCTTGTAAGTGTCGTAGTTTCCGATTCTGGGGTAGAATTAATGGCCGCGAAGCCTCGGAACTCATATTGTTGATGGTTTGGTGTCATGGAGCTGGTTGATGCTTCGCATACGAAAGATGGTTGTCGAGACCAAGCCTTGACCAATTAAAACAAGGCTGGGATTCAGCCTCGTCATTGATGAATCTTTACACGAACCCTTTTACATAGGTGTGTAAGTATGTAGTATGTATTGATTGACATCGCGATCGATTGCGTTAAGTTGATTTGGTTCCAATTCTGGTGTATGACGATTGAAATAAGATCTATATCACATCTCTGATGATTTGTCTGCATTGGAGTCTCAACACCGTAGAGGTCATTCAGCATCCCTTTTGTGTCAGGTGGTTCAAGTGTCTATATGCTCTCATGCGTCTAGAGTAACAAATTGCTCCCAGTGGTAGCTTTGAAGAACCATCATCGTCCCAATTCTTGAGGCCTGCAGGCTGCCATGGCTCACCACGCAGTTATCTTGTGAAGTTTTGCAAATCGAACTTGTGCTATAAAAATCCAACTGCATCTCTTCCATTTCTTTTACTTCTACCGAGTGGGAAACAAATGGCCAATATCTTTGACTGCTCGTAATTGTTCTAACAAGTAGTCTGAAACATTGTAATGACGTTGTCTTTAGGACCAATTCATATTAAGTGTTTATTATTGAGTAATAGCATACAGATCTTCTTTCGAACAACTGATTCCTAATGTAATGCTTACTGCGTTTGATAGTTGCTTTCTGTTGTTATACATACATGATGCCTTGACGTAAGCGAAATAAGATTTATTTTGTTATAAATTCCAACTTAAACAGAAGCCAAGTTGGTTTGTGGTTTCAATTAATCAATAAGGGTGGAAGTACGCAAATCCTGTTACTTATTTCCCTGTCGTAGAGGATGCATCTTGATAGATCTGAAGCCACTTTTCCCTCTTCCTGATTTAAACTATGACGAATACTTGACCAAAGAAGGGTATATACAACCAAAAGAGGTGTGAGGTAATGTATCAGTACGAGGGTAAATTATCTGTTCCATTCCTTCTAAGTCTATGTCTATCTATTCTAAGTTCTATCTAGGTTATATAACAGCGAAATACGTGATGCCACCTATAGTGTGAAAGACATTCCGGTAGCATTTTACTCTAAATGTTAGTTAGCTTCGCACAAGTCTTCCTTAGTTCATAACTTAGACCCCTCACAAGTAGAAAAACCTCCAAGGTCAGTAGTTATTATCCATTCACCACTATCTCAACCAACGTTCTCGAGTTTCGGACTCTCATCGCCCCCCTCAATCAACAACTTCGAAGCCTCAGACCTCCATCAACTCACGCATCGAACTATCACCATGGTTTTCTCGATCTTGAATGTTTGCCCCAGCTGTCTCCACAACAAGATTTTATGTTTGACCGTCCCATTTGTCATTGTCGGCAGCTTCTATCAAATTCAACGAAAATGGTCCGTTATCGAGCAATTTGAAAAATTGATAAGAGAAAGGCAGATATGCACCGTGAAGCCAGCGGAGCTTCACCGAGTTATCAACGAAGATAACCGCCGATTGGAAAAGCATCGTGAGAAGTTTCCAGGACCGAAAGGACTGGTTGGATCGAAGAAGTACATTGAGTCTACAATTTTTTTAAACTTCGACAGCAAGGTCGCCATCAGGGGGATGCGGGGTATTTAGGTTCTCGTAGCGGATCACTTGAGATCAACATTTTGAGCCCACATAGCGATAGTTTCAATTCTAAACAATTTCCACTCTTGAAAAACCTGCCAATTCTGACAAGAGTGTCAAAAAGTGAGAGATTGAATTTTCCGTAGTTGTGTACTTTTCAGGAATTATTCCCTCTAGTATCAATGGTAACCCAGGAGAAGCGAACCACACCAATCAGAAGTAGAACCCTAAGATTCAATCTCCACAGGTTGATCATGGTACTGGTTCATGGCGATTCGCTCTTCATTCTTCAACGATGGCAGCCCAAGCAATCTCCAAGTAACACCTTACTAGAACGCTATAACCAGCAAGGCTTTCTAAAGCAAAGAAGCACCGCACTTGTATCTATGCAAACCGCAAGCAAGCTGGAATCATACTGATAATCTGTCCCTCCATTAACGCTTTTGACACTCTACAGATTTTGAGCGGCCCCAAAATAAGATTCTGATTCTTCGAAAGTGCAACAGGTATTCAACTATTGAAAGTGTTTCTCACTCGTCGTTTCAGCTCCTAATGTATCAAGAGACTGCATACCCAGGAGAGCCTTATGCATTGAGGTACACTCATAATTTGCATACCATTCCTGTGCTAGAGTTATATTGACGTATTAACATTTGCAATCAGAGTAAAGCCTTTTGAAAGCTAGCGACTGTGATTCTTTGCTAGCATCAGGTTTACACTATATTGGATTACCTCTCACTTAAAAAATGTTTGAGTCAACTACAGTGAATCGAGAATCACGCATCTTCAAAGTTGCTATTCAAGTATATTTGAAAACCATGCAATCATTTATTCTAAAGCACTATGAGATAGTATGTGTGTGACAGAGGCCTGAACTATCCCAGGATTCAGTTCATTGAGAGACATAACCTTTATTTCTTAGAACCCTTAGGCTTAGCTTTCTCGGCATAGAATTTTCTGTGCATATCCTGTATAGCTCGAAGTTCCCAAGGCGTAATGTCTGAGTCCACAAAGACCAAACTGCCAACCTTTCCCTTATACTTTACATGTCTTCTCATACTACATCTGCATTTTGGACACGACTGACCACTGGGACACGGATGGTCCTTGCAAGTACCGCATTCTCTTTCGTTGTTGTGAGTATTGGCAAGACCAAAACGAACGACGACATTCACGCCTTGGTTTCCGATATCCAGTGGCTCGTGTGTTCCATACTTACAGCATGATTGAATAATACCGTTGGATTCAGCGCGCGCAATGATGCTTCCTAGAAGAGCTTTGTGTAACATTGCTGCTACCGGGTAAACATAAGGATGTCCGTTCGCGAAACCACCCACATGAACACGCTGCATTTCTATGGCGAGTCTTTCGATTGCATCGATATCCTGGTTATTGAGCCTTCGGTGCATGAGTTCCTGGATGTGAAAGGGTGAATGATCTCCGGAAATTGTGTGAAGATCTCTCGCCATGGAGCAGCTACTGAAAAATGAAGCCTGTCGCTTGAGATAGTCGTTTCTCAGTACAGCCTCTCCATTTTGAGCCTTCTTATCTAACGCCTCGACTAAATGCTTTGCACGTGTATCGGGAATCTTGTACGGAGGGCTTTTCGTGGTGGCAAGTTTCCTTTCGAGACACTCCTCACAAAATAGATGCTTGAGTTCAATGGCTTTCACCTTGATAGGGCATTTTTCGATGCTTCCGAGTTCGCAGCGACGATGTGCGAAGAGATTGTGTCTCTCCTTGCGTTCATTTGTGCAGCCGTAAATGACTTGATAGGTGAAGCACATTGTGGCTATTCCCGAGTATGGTGTTTTTCTTAAAAGTCTGAATTTGATGGCTGGGAGGGACTTTCTTTGAGGCAGCAATAGGTATCTAAACAAATTTGTGGAATTGAACACAATTTTGCGAGGAAATAAACCAAGAGGGAGTCATCAATTGAGCAGATAGGCGAAAGAAAGGAGTCATGCTGCACGTGAAATCAAGTGTTGCACCTGCTCAGAGTCAGAACACGTGAAGATGTAGTGTTGACATTCGATATGAATCATGGATCATTAGTGTTACATTCCCCTTGTAGTGATGATTCATTGATCTACCAATCTATTTTGGAAAATGACTGATGAGTATCTCTTCGACATGAACAATCATTGTATACAAATGTTCTTTTTCCACTGAACAATAACTCATCGAAGGTTTGATGGTATTTCAATATTGACTTATCAATGTTCTAATTTCGGATTGGCTTATCAATATTCCAATCTCTTTCGAAAATTATATCACTGAGGTCTTAGCACAATTTGTGGTACGAAGTACCAATGATGAAGTCAACCAGAGCGATTTTCACAGGCCAAATATCTTTGTAGACACCAAGAGCCAGCATTCACTTTGTAGCCTGCGTACACCTATTTTGACTGCCCTCTTTTGGTACTTTAGAGGTGCTTGGCAATCACTTGCACCTATCGTGAAGTATCAGTTGTTTATTGCATTTGAATATGAAATATGGCCATTCCAACTGTGAACGTGCAACTCGGCTCGTGTACGAAAAAATGACCTAAGAGTTTGAAATTATGAATCATTCGAAATCGGAAAAGGAAATATGTCAAAACCCAAGATCATAAAGCAAATTAAATTACATTGCTCTAGCTTACTAGTAGAAATAGAAAAACATAAAGTGGAAGCACCCGCCCAAATAATAATATTTATACATCTCGTAAACGCCACATCATGCTTCTGCGCCCCTCTTCCAATATACGTCTTCATATTGCAAGTAATATCCAAGTTTTGATCTACATAATTGTTGGTGCATCAGCTTGCCAGCTATAATTATCTCTCGTAACTTAACGATCGCTCCTCCTCGGAATACTCATCGGGGTACGCATCGTTCATTCTTCTTCCACGAGATCTAGCACGAGGAGCAATATTGAATCCATACATGGTGTCTCTAGTGACCATATAGATACCGAATGAAAAGAGAAGAGCAAAGGCAAATGCAGCCCACTGGAGTCCCTCAAGCGTTTTCCCTTGTTCAATCTGTACGTTTGCAGAACATCCTACAGCTGTATCTCCAAGTACCGTGTTGATTGCATTAACGGAAACAGTAAGCGTATATGCTGCACCAAGACTGGTAGCAACAGATGCCCACAGAAATGGCATGGCTACCATGCCGATTTTACCAGCAGGTTTTCCCAGACCTGCAAGGAGCCATGCACCAGTGTCAACAAGGAATCCTAAGAGAAAAAGAGATAATGCGACCATAGGCATGAAAATAGATATGTCGTTCTGTAACTTCTGTCCTAACTGTATGATATTTGAATCGACGTGAAGTGTTGCGGCAATTTCGTCGGGTGACTGACTATACTGCTTGCCTATGCATTGAAAACCGTTTGTGTTCTTGAACGTATCTCCGTTGCTTCCTTCCACTCCCACATAAGCACATATACCTAAATAGCTTGTTAACGAAGATTCGCAGAACCAGGAATAATATTTTCACGGACCCATGTAACCAAATCTCAATCCGCCGATTTTAGATCCATCACTGCCTACCTTGGCGATTTGCCCGATGAAGACGTTCTGCATTCCTGGCGTTGTTGTCGCAGATCCGGCAATCGACATGGCTAAACATCAACACATTAGCTCAGATCTACGAATTGATACATCGGACAAGAAGCAAGGAGTGTCTATGGGCTTACCCGAGAATGTAAAAAATGGGATGGCTCCAATAATCCATACTGCAGCTCGAACAGTAATGTTCTTTGGGTCTGCGAGTAATAAAGTCAATCTTCGTTTTACAAGGACTTCTGAAAAACTTACTCATGGGTCTCCATGCTCCACGGCCAGACATTTTGAAGATGTGAGATTAGAATGATGCCACTAAGTAGTGACGACGGTGCAAACGAGTGACTATTGGTTTTTAAAGAACACAAAAATGAATGACGAAAGAAAATCTGTCAGATGAGAAATTCTGCACTGCTAGATTTCAACTTGAGCAGATAGATAACCTGGCTTATGGCTTGAGGACTAGAAGACCTCGCTCACTATATACGGCTGTTGTTAAACAATAGTATCCATTGCTCCACCTCTGGCTGGACTTGAATGTCCATGCTGTGCAATTGCTGTGCCTTCAATTGTTGACCATATTGACCGATAGATCACTGGATCTAGGTACACCAAGAAACTTTTATGAATTCAAACAGGCATTGCAAACCACTAAGTAACCTACTAGGCCCATTCTTCAATGAAAAGAATTGTTAGTAAAGGACAGCACATAATAACCGCGGCCTACAAACGGCAAGCGCTCGAGTCAACGGTCGTGATCTTTTTTGTCGTTCATCAGACTGACATTAACCGATAACGTAATCAAGCTAGTGCTCAGTACTTGAGTAGCTGCTAACAGTGCGCAAAGTCATTATCGCACGCGCCCGTGCAATTTTGAGTTTTGGGTCATGCTCAAGGTCGAATTGAGGCTCTGGTAAGCATCCAAACAATCTCCTCTCTCTACCTTGGGTCCTCATTTGTCGTAGGGTCTACAGGTAGGAATGATTTTGTGCTCCATACATATCTCTCGTCTTCTGGTCCAAGATATGGACAGAATCTCGAAGATCCGATCTGAGAGCTGGTTGGACCTTTCCAGCCTTCTGCGACGAATACTGTTAGTGGAAAAAGCTCCCTCCGATTTGAGACTCAATTCAAATCCTTATTACAATTGATATGTTTGTCTCTTCGCAGGAAACTGCGTTCGCATTTGCTTGGACACCTTGTGTACGTTTGCTAATAAGTTGTACAAGTGTGGCTGCCAACAATAGTGGCGTTCGGATGTGGTCTAACCCAAAGAGGTTAAGTGCACGTTAAAGGCTTGAAAGTTGATTATAGGGCTGAAGTGTCGGTCTTGTTTTGAGTTAATGGGTCGGCGATGAGGTTATCGCAGGCAAGCTTCTTTACATCTCTGATAAATGATTGATCGTTGGTGTTTCAAACGATAAGAAAGTCGATATGGAAGGATTTGGACCACAACGGCCAATTTGGCGCCTCATTTCTGACCATTCCCAAGGGTCAAGATTGCTGAAACTTCGTAGACTAAGCAGTAAGTCAGCTTAGCTTTCAGAAATGAAGGGGGCCTAGAATTTTACACGAAAAGCATGAAATTTTCATTATGCATAGCCGGGTCGATTGCCATTCTAGCGGCCGACTATGGTTCTTCCGAGGTCTTCTCTCTCTATCTATTGCTACGTATATTTGAAAGCTGGAATCTGCCAACTTTTCCTCACATCATCAAGCTCGAACGTCACATCTTTCTTAAACCAACATCTAAGAAATGAGTATTCCAGTGTGAGCTCATATCTACGATGATGAACATGTGACAATTGAGAATTACGCGGGGATAGATCCAGCCTGTTTCGGCGACGGCGGACGACTATTAGTCTTTTGTTCTTTAAAGTATCTCAATATCTTAAGCTGTTCACGTTTATCATCTATTCCCAACGATCAATACGATCCCGAATTTCAACAGTTGAATCAGCGTAAGGCTGAACAGCAGTTTACAATGCTATCGCTCTGGAGAATCTCATACAAGCCGAGCAAAGGGCATCAAGTCATTGGTATGTTCTAGCATATACGTAATATGTAGCCGAGTATTAGTTTGAATTCACTAACAGCTTGTGATAGGCCAGTGTTTCTTTGAAACAATTTCAAACTTCATACACACACTATACTTTCAACGCACTCGTTAAACTTTACTTATCTTCAATTCCTCTGCAACAATGCTTGCAGGTCATCGAATAAAACCACATAGCTACGATCGTTTACACACATAAATTGCACTCGTTTATCTCATTTTCCTTTGTCAGTTTCTTTCTCAAATACTTATCCCTACTTTGGTATAAGCTTCTCGTAGTCATGTACGGATAGTTCTTCCACTTCACAGCATGGTACTATCGCACGTCAGATCTCTCGCTCCCATATTTCGATGAATCCTGCACAAGGTCCTCTTTTGTCTCCAAAAATCCACTCCTCCACGTTCGGGAGCCATGTATACTGAGACGAATCAAATCGCCTCTGTGGTCTTCTGAGCAGGCAGCTAGTAGGTTGAGACGAAATGGGGCTTGGATTGTTTTCGTTATTCTTGGGTTAGTGTTGCGGAACTAGTTACGAGTTTTAGTAGAATGTTGTGAAGAGAGATCTTGAGCATGTCGAAAAGAGGCAAAGATGGGATGGATGAAAATAAGGGTAGAATTGTCACCTTCACATTGCTTGGCTGGGTGGGGCGTTCAGAGATAAAGATGAGGTCTTTACACAGGAGTTTTTTTTCGGCGAAGGAAAAGGATATGAGCTTGGAGTACGGTTAATTTTGATAGCTAGATCGGAGACAAAAATGGATAGTTCTAGATCTCTACAAATAGTTAAACTGCATAATTTCCGTTTCATTCCTGTGAATGTTCTTACTGTAAATATCTAATTCTAATCAAGTGGTGATCGTGGGCATTATCACCATAGCCAAGTGGCCGCTTCGCGAGCATTGAAAACTCTTCACTTCCACGACCTCTGAAGGCCCGGTATTTCAGGAATATGATCCCGTATATCCTACTTGCATGTACCCTTGAGGTCTCCCTCTCGTGATTTATGACTTGCCCCATTGACGTTCATGCCTAAGTTTCTTTACGTGTACCAGTTCAGTTATCATCCACCGGAAACAAACGCAATGAAGAGTATGCCTGTCAGAGTCAAGATTGATGCCCAAGGTATACTCAAATCTTGTCTTGCCATCGGTACGAATCAATAGCATGAGGTGTTTAGGGGCGATAAGTTGAAGCTAAAGAAGGAATTCGAAACATTTGAGGCGTATGTGAGTACTATTACAGGATATCCATGTTATGTGATGGCTATATTGTGCATTGATCTGTCTGGAGCTGGCGAAGTCTGTACTGAAATCTAAGTCACAAGTCTGATATATCGCGTGCAATTCACGATCAAAGATTCCATGAGTACCTTTTTGATTATCTCACTCCTACCATTTTGTTGATCTTCTCTACATCATGACTAAATATCGCTTGACGACCATCAAAAGATCGTTGCGTAATGGTGATCTTGATCCCGAAACGCCTACAAATACCTCGCCACCACTACCTAAAAAAGAAACAGGGAAAGAAAGAGAGAGAAAAACTCTTCTTTTCAGGTCGGAATCCTGGTCGCAGCTCCAAAGCGAAGATTTCATATATGCATTAAAGCCCAGCTAGACCATAGAGCACAAACCCAATTCCCCATAGCAGACCCCCAGTATTTCTTGATGCGAAAGAATACAGCAAAATATGGATCACCTCTTTTCTTTGCCAAGCAATAGCAAGCCTTACCACAATAATGGAACAGTCGATTTTGAACACCCCCCCATTTCGGACGAAGACCTTCAAATGTGGGGAGATTTGGATTGTTTGGAATTAGCGACTTCTTCCAACTTAATTGTAGGCTGTTCGTCGCCTGGTTGGGCTCCGCAATGGATGGCTGGGAGTGAAGAATATCAAGAATTATCTGCTCCATCGTCTTACAATTCTCATCCATCATTTCCATCGCCGCCTGCCTCAACACCAGTCGCTAAGGACCGAAACTATGGCTCTTCGGCGTGGATAAACACGGTACAAAACAACGGAACCCCGATAGCTACTGCGAATAATTTGAACGTGATGTACCCGACATCGATGCCAGGAGAGTGGAGCAATCGCTACAATGTATCGGCTTATCAAAGGACTGCGGAGAACGCGACACAAGATAACAATACAGCATCTTGACAATCTCAAATACTGAACGGCACAGATTCTTCGCCATATCAACGAGGAGCTCCGAATATAACATCACGAAGCGACAGTATGAACACGCAATGGCAACCTCAAAGTTCCAATCACAAAACCCCCTCGTTTATCACATACCAGCCCAAACCCCCTTTACATCCAACCTCACATACCTCTTCAGAAAACCCCACGACTACACAATACCAATCTCATTCTCAAAGTTCTAGTGTCTCAGACTCAACATCCCTAGCTGAATCGCGCTGGATACCCCCCAATCATCCTCTCGAAACCATCACTCCGTTTATAAACCCCACTCCTTTTGCCTCCACCCTCGCAAACACTTTTCACTTGTTCCATTCTCACTCCCTCCTATACAAATCAGGCGTTACGCCTCATGAATTGCAAATGCATCTTGCCGCCGGCTCCTGCGGCGTAACTATCCACGGGACTGTTTCCACTCCCGAAAACACCGACGGTTACCAAAACGGCACACTCGGCATCATAATTGCGCAAGAAATGCCTCTAACTCCTCGTTTATATCTACCCGCCCAGCGTAAGAAGATTTCTGAATCTATGCGACAGGTTGTGTTAGATTTACATGGAAAGGGCATTGTGCACGGTGATATTTATCTGTCGAATTTTCTGCTCTGTGCTTCTGGGAATTCAAACGATCAAGTCAGTGTTAAACTGAGTAATTTCCACGATTCTCATTTTATTTCAGATTCTTCTCAAAACTCAGTCGATCATGAAAAAGAAGAGCAATGGACACCAATCCTCAACGGAAAGATGATTTCTCCGAACCGAGCAAATGAGTGGATGAAAGGAAGGGATAGGAAAGCGACCAAAGAAGATGATCTGTATGCGCTGGGTATCTGTATGTGGGAACTGTGGAGTGGAAAGAGGTACGATGAAGCGCGTGGGATTTGGGAAGATGTGAGGAGGGGTGACCTAAAAGGAAGAGGAGTGGATATGAAGGGGGTCGGAGATAAGGGAGTTAGAGCTTGGGTAAGAGCATGGCTGAGAGGTGGAGGAGCAATCGTTTGATATCTTGAGTGTGATTTAGAATTACAGTAGAAAATATCCATAGGGCCCTTTGCTGAAGCTGATGGCACTGTGCATCGAACGACACACTATTTCACTACAACTCTACTATTTGATTCTACCACTGATCGTTCTGAAATACTTCCGAGAATATATAGCTGTTGCTCTTGGGGTTCGAAGAGAGTGGCTAGTAGGATCGAGACGCACAACAAGTCTTACCCTGATGGAAGTTCCACTCCTTAGATTGAATTGCAAAAATATCGATTTGCTGGAAAATAGTGAGATAATCACCAGCCTGTTCACCATGTGCCTCGAAACTCAAATCAGTTGAATTTTGAGTGGATTAATCCCTTTGCGCTGAAATTTCCCTCCTCTTTCTCATTTGGATTATCGCGTCACCCAATGTTTTCAGGTATAATAGAGAGAATAAAATAGCAAAAATTCAATCTCTCCTAGGTAGCGCGTACGGAGACCGGAACCAAACCAGACGAACTGAGTTATCAAGCAAATTAGTCTTCGGACATTAAGCAGAGGTCCCGTTTGAGGGGATGTGAAAAACCTAGTGCGCTACCACTAAGCCATCTGGACTATGTTTGTTGTGGAGAAGCGAGTCTGTTTTGAATTATGATTACGCGGTTCGTGTTTGCTGTGTTTGCTCGCTCATAAGAAAAAAATTGGCGGTGAAAGCGAAAAGACGAGATGAGAACAGCGTATGGACTTTTATGGTTTCATACTCTTCCAAAAGCGGTCTCAGTGAAAGAAATGGTATCTTCGTCAATGAAGGGGAAAACCGGAATAGACTCGAGCGCGGCTGAAAGTAGAGCTTTCAATACTATGCAGAAATCTTACGAGATCAGCGAATGATTGGTATGCCGATATATTCGAGTTTAAGTAATCCATCAATTGTGTGACTAAAGGTATTGATCTCATCACGATGGTTCTATTCCTTGCTGCCACCATAGCGTTGTGCCATTCACACTCGTGATGCATATCAATACAAAGCCATACCTGTGTATCACAACATGTATCGGGTAACTGCGCTAGCTAGTAGATCTGAAGTTTCGGTTAAGTAGATGCCGTTTTGAACTCTGTACATCCTCATGGAGAAAGTATGAAATAAATGAAGAGGGGTAAGGAAACAGTTGATGACGCATGTCCAATCGACGCATCAATCGCGAGGCCCTCAAAGATTCACAATTTGATCTCGTGGTAGAAGCGCGTCAATAGGCGTACGCAATCCAAGTAAGCAGGAAAAGGGATTATCAAATATTGATATTTAATGTAATGTAACCTAAAAGTCCATGAGAAACCTGAACGGAAGTATCAACACGGAGCAATACGGGGTACTCATTAAAGCAAAATCGAAGCGAATACCTCGGCATATACAGTACTATGTATGCATAAAGTTTACGCGAAAGGCCTTTTTACATTAAAACTCACCTTATTCAAAATAGAATAAAAGCTTACCCTTATATTATATTAATATAGAAGCTTCAAAATCCATAAATATTTATATAAATATATTAAAAAAATGAATAGATTTTTTTCATAGATATTTTTATTCTTGTTTAATTGAGCTTTGAATTCAAAATTCTTTAAAAATTGTAAAATTCGCTTATTTTTAGTGTGAAAATTGATTTCGAAAAATCATTTAATTTGAAGCTTATATAGAAAGTCAATAAAATAAGATTGAATTCTAGAACTTTAATATAATTGAAGTATTTTAATATTATAATTTTTTTTATTCAATACCTTAATTAATTATTTATTTTAAAAAGAAAATTGAAAGAGATAACGTAGTTTATTAGTACATGTATTATATCAATATATATATCACTTTTACCTCAATTTACACTTTCAAACTCATATTATTTAATAACAATTAAATCAATTAATTAAAACTATTTAGAATCTAATAATTCAGAATCTATTATATTATTTTAATAGGTTCTTATATTATAATTTGTCTTTCTATATTTATTATAATATTGAATAGAAAATACTTTTCTATTAGATTTATATTACGGAGGTACCCGCACCGCAACATGGATTATAAGGTAAAGACGAGCCTTGGTGTTATGACCTATGAAAATAGTATTATAAAAACCATAAGATTAAAAGGTAATTAGGAATAAGAATAATCGAGCAAGTAATCAATGATTAGGAAAAGATAGGCACCTGTATTTATTAATACTTATTTTATAATAAATACAAGGTAAATAGTAATTACAAATTAATTAATAAACACAAATTAAATAAATAGTAAAAACATTATAAATTATAGAATAAGTATTATGTAATAAATAGACAAGATAGATAAGCTATTCAGACTATTCATAGATAAACAGAATAAACAAACTATCTAAACTATTCAATAAGAATAAAGGTCTATATAGGAAATGAGTTTTATTATAATATAGAACTTTATATTCAAGAACAATTATTAGTTTTATTATTATAATTACAAGAATTGTAATTAATTATAATTTTATTAAATTCCTATTTGAAGTTTAGTTTAAACCATCTCGAGAGAACTCTAAACACTTCCACATGACCCTAGAGGAAGCTCCCGTAACACAACAATAAACAAGATTTATCTATATTTAAACATATATATATATATATTAGTTTATATCGAATTTAAACTTGAAACCTATTGAAAATATAATAAGAATACTAATACACACCCTTTTATATATTTCATATCAAGGAATAAATTCGAAGAATTTCATATAAAATACCGTATTGAACACCCTGAAACAAGCAATGTTTATGAAAGAATAAGATATCATTTTGTTAATTCGAATTTTGTATGCTAATATACTCATTTATAGGTAGATTTATTATCAAATTATATTCAAAATATTAATCTTTTAATATAAATACCTTAAAATCAAATATCAATTAATGAAAATATAGTTTAATATTCTGATTGATTAAGCTTTATTACTACTATTAAAAATAAATTTATATCTATAGGATTTAAGATATAAATAACAGCGAATCAAGGCTTCTTTATAGTATAAAATTAGTATAAAACTGATAAAAAGAATGATTCTATGAATATAGTTATACCCCCCCTTTTAGGGTTGATAATAAATGAAAAACATATAAATCCTATGTAAATAGTAATTCTATACTTAATATAAAGATTACCTAAAGCATTATATTATATTTATATTAATAATCTATTCATTTCCTATAACTTTTTGAAGTACATATATTATTCAGAGTATACTGTGATAGGGATATATAGGCCTAATTCCAGTATTCATAAAGATCTAGTTAATTTAAAGGTTTAAAATACTAAAGATGTGTTACGGGAGCTGCCTCTAGGGTCACGTGGAAGTGGCTAGAGATCTCTCGAGGTGGTTTAGACTAGACTTCAAGTAGGAATTCAATAAGGTTGTAACTGGTTGCAATTCTCGTAACTATAGTAATGAAACTAATGATTGTTCTTGAGCACGAAGCTCTACATTGTAATGAAATCTGTTCTCTTATATAGACCTTCCTGCTCTGCAGAACCTACAGTTCTGTCTTGTCTGGATCCTCTGGATCCTATGGATCTAGATGTTTATTCTTCGATCCCCTAGATCCTCTAGGTCCATCACGTGACTTCCTGACCATGTGACGCGGTATATTGGATGCCGTCGTAACAAGATGATAAGATACTATAAGGAATAATTTATTTTAAAATATTACCCTCGAATAATATATATTTTGTAGTATGAAAGGATAATATAATAATTTTAGTACAATCTATAATTTATAATAAAAAAACTTTTATTAATAGGATATATAAAAGACCGAAAATTATCTCTTCGAAAACTAAAACAGCTCGAGTATCATTCGAAGATGAACACAAGAAAGAATTACCTATTCCAATCCTTTTTGATAATTATAATTATAATACAAATACTATCAATATAAGGAATTAATTACATACGTTTATACTAGAATATTAATAATAACAATGTAATAATCATTAAGCTTTAGAATATGTTACGGGAGCTGCCTCTAGGGTCACGTGGAAGTGTCTAGAGTTCTCTCGAGGTGGTTTAGACTAAACTTCAAGTAGGAATTCAATAAGGTTGGTAACTGGTTGCAATTCTCGTAACTATAGTAATGAAACTAATGATTGTTCTTGAGCACGAAGCTCTACATTGTAATGAAATCCCATTCCCTTATATAGATCTTCGTACTCTGATGTTGGTTGGAGTTTCTTGGAGTCCTGGCTCCCAAGGACCTCCTTGGAGCCCTGGCTCCTGGGGACTCCACCACGTGACACTTGTCACATGGCATTCTGTTACCCATCGTAACACTATCCCCTTCCTAGACTAGCGCTTGTCCCAAGCGTCTTATAATGCTCCATTTCCCCACCCGGCCGGTGAATCAAATGGTCTTGGGCTCTTTCATTATGCCTATCACCACTATTTCCCCTAATCACCTAACTGTTCGAAAACGTAAGGAACAAATCCTTCTTGCTCAGGCTATTGAATCTAGTGGTGTCGAAATGATTCCGTGTTCGCGTTGTCGTTTGGATGGTTATCGATGTGTTAAGGATTTGTCTCGTTCCGATCGCTCTCGTTGTTCTGAATGCGTGCGTGCACGTTCTTCTTGTGATGCTGAGTTTCCTTTGGCCGAGGATTGGGATCGAGAAGTTCCTCGGGAAGGCGATTGGCGCGCCTTGGATCGTCAAGAGGAACGCCTTCGTTCGGAGGAAGAAGAGGCTATGGCGAAGATCCTTCGCCTTAGGAAACAACAAAAGTTGTTGCGCGAGCGGCGTCAGCGCATGGCCGACCGTGGCCTTAAATATTTGGATGAGCTTGATGCTCTGGAAGAAAAGGAAAGGCTAGAGAAAGAGCGTGTTGAGAGAGAAAAAGAAATGGCGTCTGCCTCTGTTGCTGGTCCTATCGACGACTCCTTTGCTTTCGATTCTTCTTTGCCTGAGTTGTCCGAAGCGGATTTTGAGGCTTTATTGGCAGGTGTGGGTACTTCAGGTG